ATAGAAGCAGCCATGCCTTTCTTTCTTGGGTCACTGAGTCAGTTCAGGCATCCAGCCTTTAGGTTAGTAGTTAAGCACAAAATCTTCACATCATGTAGTTTAAAATGCCAAACCCACAGTAATCAAGTAGATTCTGACTCATAGCAGTCCAGTAGGTACCCTTTAGGACAGAGTAGAACTTCCCATATGACTTCCAAAACTAAGTCATTGTGGAAGCAGACAGCCTCATCTTTCTATGGCAGAGGTGCTGGTTGGTTCAAATCACCCACCTTTTGGTTAGCTGCCAAATGCTTTACTTACAGCATCATCAAGGCTCCTTTTATTTTAGTTAAACAAAGACCAATCAAACCCACTGCTGTGAAGTCAATTTTGGTTCATGGTGACCCTCTATCAAGTTTCCAAAGCTGTAAATCTTTATGGGAGAAAAATGCCTATCTTTCTCCATTAGAAGAGCTAGTGATTCATAACTATAACTTTTAGCTTAGCAGTCCAAAACATCAAGTGCTACATTACTTCTACAATATTAATGAAAACCCATGCCACTATTGTTGTGTCCCTTTGCAATAAATTAATAAAAACCCTAGAGGAGAGAGTAGAGTGGTCTCAACGGGTTTTCTAGACTAATATTTTCTGAATCTCGGGTGACTCAGGTGGTAAAGAGTTGTACTGCCTACCTGAAAGCATACTGAATCCTCCAGTTGCTGTGCTAAAGAAAGATAGGCAATCTTCTCTCACGCAATCTAGTGCCTATGAAAACCTGCCAGAGGATCAGTTCCAACTCAATGGTACACAACAGGGACAATCTTTATGGCAGCAAATGGTTAAGACTTTGCTCCCACAGAGCCACTGATGATTTCAAACCAGCAACCTTTTGATTAGCAGCTGGACATTTAGCCATTGTGTCACCAGGATGTACTTTCCCACAATAAGGGAAAAGTACAGGAGGAATAATATTTAGTTTCAACTGATTTCCTCCCTTGCTTGCCAAAGGAGAAGAGCAACAGATTTGAACAATAAATGTGAGAGAAGAAATGAAACATGAGTAAATGAACAGGCCCTTCATATATTTACTTCATAATGTCTTGAATCCAAGATGCATACTCTAGTTCTCTTTCATTTATAGGTTGGTTGTCTATAGTTAGCTAGTTTGTGGTGAACATATTCATTTTTGAGGATGATATTACTAAATTCAGTTATGTCCAGAGACCCAAAGCATGTACCATAAAGACAGAAATAACATACAAGTTGCAAGGGGATAAACAAGAAACATTTTTATTGCTACTTGTACCTTCTTTTCAAGTGGTTTAAAACTCAGATGAGTGGTGACAAGGTTATGATTATTACTCTAAAAAACTCACTGGAGTCCAAAGCAGAGTGACGTGCTCTAATTTCTACCATAAATGATTTAGGAGACAGTAAGAGGTACAAGATAGCATGGATAGCACAGTTTTTTGAATGCTATTTAATGCACTGAGTAAACTAATTAAGGTATACATAATCAAAACCCATTGCCACAAGCCAATTCTGACTTGTCGCAACCCTTTATGGGGTTTGCAAAGCTATAAATCTGAATGGGAACTGATGCTTCATCTTTCTTCCACAAAGTGGCTGTTGAGTTTTAACTGCCAACCTTTTAGTTAGCAGAACAACACATGAACCACCAGGACTACAAGAGAAGACTAAAATAGTGCTGTTAGATTTGTCCCTTCATATGTAATCAGAAGAATGTAGCATCAAGATTGGAGGAAGACTCATAAATAACCTGTGTTATGCAAATGACACAGCCTTGCTTGCTAAAAGTGAAGAGGACCTGGGACACTTGTTGCAGAAGGTCAAAGCATACAGCCTTCAATATGAATTGACTCTCAATGTCAAGAAAACAAACATTCTTACCACTGGACTGAGAGGCAACATCATGGTAGATCGAAAAAGATTGAAACTGTTTACAACTGCATCTTACTTGGAACCATAATCAACACCCTTGGTACTGGCAGTCAGGAAATCAGGAGACATATTGCACTGGGAAAGTCTGAAGTTAAAGACCTCTCCAAATTATTGAATAGCAATGATGTCAGTTTGAGGACTAAAGTGCATCTGATTCAGGTCATGGTCTTACCAATAACTTCTTATGCATCTGAGAAATGGACAATGAGCATGGCAGAAGAAGAATTGATGCCTTTGAGCTGTGGTGTTGGAGAAGAGCACTGAGCATCACATCTCATGGACATCCAATAGAACAAACAAATATGTCATGGAGAAGTGCAGCCAGAATGCTCTTTGGAGGTAAACATGATAAAGCTTTGCTTCACATACTTTGAGCATGTTTCTAGGAGGGTGCTATTCTTTGTAGAGGGATTTGACGTTTAGAAAGGCAGAGGGTTGGTGAAGAAGAGGAAGACCCTAGACCAGGTACATTGACATGGTGACTGCCACTAAGAGCTCTAATGTGTCAGAAAGTGTGAGGATGGCACAGGATAGGACAGTGTTCAGATCTGTTGTTCATAGGGGCACACTGTGAATTGCCCTTGACTTGATGGACCCTAATAACAACAACAATATGTAAAGAGAAGGAACATATGAAAAAGAAGGAAAAGTAAGGATGGTTATAGTGAGACAAAGTGCAGGGATTTGTTTGCACCCCTTGAAGAAAGAGGGGGGAAAGCAGTCTTTCATAGACGACTTTAAAAAGTCTAGACAAGGGAGAGCTGTCTTCATCAAGTATTCATGTACCATAAAGACAAAGAAACAATATTAGAATGGAGAAGGGACTTGATATAATCTATTTCTGTATAGTAGGGTATATACTTCAGACAAAGAAAATTCTCAAAGTGCCTTTAACCAAGAAAATAGAAAAGGTGGTTGATTTTGGTGATACTGAGCAGAACAAAAAGTATCTTAGAGGGAATGATGAAGAGATCCAAGTCTGTAAATGTTCTCTCTAGTTATTTTCCATCTCAAATATTATTTTTCATCATAACAGGTAATGAAGCAGTAAAATAAGAACCATATTAAAAGGTTTCTTTTGAAGAGCTATTTTAGAGATACTGCTTTCGCTTTCCTTGTATTTCTTTCATAATTCCCCCAGTGATGATGTTGCCTTTGCTTACAAGGGTGAAATGAATTTTTTCATGGAATATGTTTTAATCAATTGCTATCATCAAACCTAACTATTACTTTAGCTTTCAATCTGCCAAGGGTATAATTTAAAATAGTGAGAACATATTGAAATGGTTCCTATATACAAGCATTTAATTTTATATTTTACCACATTTAGTGGAATAGAAACATCAACATTTTGCCTCCAAGAGGATATGCTTTAAATAGAAAGCAAAGTTTTCAACACTTAACCATTAAACTCAAGCATAGAAAATCATATGGAATAATCATTTCACATCAAAAGAGGACTACCCATTTCCTGAGGTACTTTAAGTTGGCTGATTATTAAAATTTTGTTTCATTTTTATCATAAAATATTTAAGGATTTTTTTTAAATTCCTGGAAATTGACAGTAAAATGATACATATTTGAACTCAGAGGTTAATCTGCTCTAATATCTTTGTCTCTGATCCACTTAACTCTAAGAATTCCTTTTCAATACTGGTTGTTAGTTGGAAAAAAATGCCTAGAGCATTTCATTTACTCAACAAGTACATTTCCTACACTTTTTTAGCATCATTACATAATTCACTAAAGCAAAATTTATATTCAGCTTAATGTTCTTGAAATAAATGGAAATGGCTTGCTTTAATATAATTTCATTATTCTCAGATAGTTCTTTAAAGAGTAATTGAACAGGTTTGCTTGGAACAGTGCAAGAAAGGAAGATCCTCCATGACATGGATTGATTCAGTGACTAGGGTAATGTGGGTGGGTGTGTCAGAGACAATAAGATTAGCACAGGATAGAGCAGGGTTTAGGGCTGCTGTACATAAGGTTGCTATGAGTCACAGGCAACTTGATGGCACATATCAACAACAACAACATTTTCATATACTTAAACTCCCAGTTATTAAGTTGGTGCTTTGTGCAATTGCAAAATTGAAATTCACTCAAACAGGAATAACTACTAAATATACACATTTAAAAAGAAAATATCTCATTGTGCAACCAAGTGATCTTAGTATGTCCTCTTTATCTCACATACTTGAAACTATCACTAGGTGCCCAATGAATAATAAGATAGAACTAAAATGTATTTAACTCTGAAGATCTCACGAGATACAAAGGATACAAGTAACACATAATAATTTTATATTATTTTTTATGTTTAAGAAAACAAGCATGGCGTTCCATACAATGAAATTAAGAATGTGTGGGGCAGATATTATAACTTTATGTATTTCACATTTCTGTATTTCTTTATATGCATATGTACTCTTAAAAATACTCATTGACAATAGCAAGGACCGATTTGAATGAATAGAAGGCATTGAGGATTTCATGAAAGGAACGCAAAGGTTATTGTTATTGAGTCAGGTACATAAGTGGATGAGCTTCAGCCAATAAAGACTCTTTCAGTGGAGAGGATTTTTGTCTTGTACAAAATTTATTGG